TCTGCTTTCCTTTTTTGTTTGACTTTTCAGAGAAAAGGTTGTTTTTTTTAATGTTATTGAAATCGGTACTATTAGTATTATTATTGATAATATTATTATTCTAATGTTAACAATAATACTAATAGTAATAAATGCTACTCTTTGATGACTCTGCACTTGTGGAGCAGTCTGTACATAAACCTATTCAATAAACTAAAATCACAGTGGACATGGTATTGTATGTACATCCCCATCAGCAATGGGTTAAAGTGAACTGACAGTCACAAAGTAAGATTAGGGGTGCATGAATGACTGATTGATTATTGCATTGATATAGAAATTAGATATTGCCATTTATCAATTTGGCATTTTATATAAACCAGTATAGCCTTTTTTCTGAGGAGGCAGGTCAGTCGTGTACTATTTATACATGATACACATATTAAATAAGGTCACATAAGTAACCTGATGGCATCAGGAATGGAAATGCTGAGCCCACTGTGAGTTTAGTTAATTACTTATATATACACATAGATGGCTCCACAAGTGCTTAGTCACCAATGAGTCAGTCACTAGTACTACCTATCTTGCCTCTGTACCCTTTTCCTTGATTTTCAGAAATATTTTGTTATCTTATGCTGCAACTCATAATTTTTTGTAACATTATTATGATTATAAAGATAATGATAATAATAACAGTATCAATATTGACAGCATTATTAAAAAGACCTTTTTCCTAAAAACTCAAGGAAAGGTGAAATCTGGTTAGGTTATGAGGTCTGATAATTGACTCCTTGGTAGCTGAGCTCTTGTAGAAACTTTTTTGTGTAGAGACATTTCACAGTGCAACATTAAATTGGCTACTACAGTTTCCTAATAGCATTGGGTTGATGAAAAGTAACCAGGTTGGCTTTGAATGGCTTTGAATATATGAATAAATTTTTTTCTGAGGATGCATCTTTATTATCTGGAATAGGTTTAAAATTATTATTTAGTGGTTGTTTTATATTGTGAACTATCTTCTTATGACTAGACCTAAAGTCTTTGAGCTGTGTTGTTATTTACAATCACATTTTGTTTCATAATGTTTGCTTTCAGTTTTGATGGTGCTTTTGATGTGATTATCAGATTCAGCTAGGGAACTAATGTCTTTTTCATGTTTATGTGTGTTGTGAAATGCTTTAATTTCTTTCATGTAATTTGTGTCAATGTATTATTTCTAAAATTTTTATTTGATATGATAACTGAATGCCACAAGTGTGGTGATACAAAGTTTATATGTTAATCTAAGGTATGTAGTAAAGTAGGGATTATTTTTATATATTTCTACACATATTTATTAGTGGGATATTATGTAGATACAATAAATGGGTTGTAAAATTTACTCTTTGTTATATCTCAAGAGAAATTTGCTTAGGTAAAATGACTATCCAGATTATACTGTAACTCAGTTTGCAAACATATCACAGGTTTATAGTATAAAGAGAAAGATATGATAAGTGATAATGTAAATAAAGATATGATAAAGATATGATAAATAAAGATATGATAAATGATAATATGATACTTTGTATAAATGAGATTGGTACTTTACTTTATAGATATTTATTTATCAAAGAAAGTATCACGTAATTACTTTTATCTGTCCATATATAACAAGATTGTCCATTATACATTGCGTGATGCATCAAGTTTTATGTCAGAAATATGGGGAAAGAACAGTAGGTGTTATACATAAGTTCACACTAAATGTTATAGTCTAGGATGCTCAGGGCTTTCACATTGAAAGCTTGTAAATCACTTTATTTCTGCCTTCCGCTTGCAGATTTGAATTGTCACAGCAAATGAAGTTTCATCTTAAATATTATATTCTATCTTTATAATGATTAGTGTACATAAAAAAGGTGTTCCAAAAATGTGTATTATATATTTTAAGAACCAGATTATCTTTTCATTGCTGCTAGCAAAAGAAAAGCTGGTGATAGTTATGATATGAATTATGAGGGAATATTTTAAGTAAAAGTGAAAAATAACAAAGGTGTTAGGAATATATAAACCCAGCTATTTTTTCTCAGCTATCAAATAGAATTTTAACCCAATCAGCATGGATGGCAAGAATACATGCGTCTATTTTTTGTATTTACACATAGATGGCTCTATAAGTGCTAAGTCACTATGGAGTCAGTTATTAATCCTACCTATCTCACCTGTTTACCCTTTTCCTTGACTTTTGGAAAGGTTCTTTTATATTATTTCCTTGTCTTAAAAGTTACCAAGATTTTAGCAACAATTTAATAATCATAACATTAAGAACAATAATAACAGTTTTGATATCAATTGTATTAAAGAGAAAAACACGTTTTCCCGCCAATTCAAGGAATGGGGAAATCAGGATCGGTCACTAGGGCCTATTGGTAGACTCCTTGCCGGCTGAGCACATGTGGAGCCATCTGTATGTAACAAAATTTACAAAAAAACTACAGGGGACAGAGCATGAATCTGTGGTGGTTGGGTTGATTAGCTTATTCTCAAGGTAGACTGAGGTCAGGTGTGAAATATATGGGAGTTGGTCATAAGCCATAGCAGGTCAGAAGTTTGAACCATTCATAAATAGATGGCTTTGATGAGAATGAAATAAAAAAGTACTTATGTGTGCTGATTGAAAAAGTCTTTCAGTTATATTTAAGATGTGAATCACAAGTTTATAAAAACTATAAATAAGATTATTAATATAAATATAATATATATATATGTGTGTGTGTGTGTGTGTGTGTGTGTGTATGTGTGTGTGTGTGTGTGTGTGTGTGTGTGTGTGTGTGTGTGTGTGTGTGTGTGTGTGTGTGTGTGTGTGTGTGTGTGTGTGTGTGTGTGTGCATGTGCGTGTGCGTGTGCATGTGTGTGTGTGTGTGTGTATGTGTGTATGTATATATATGTATGTATATAAGTATATATATATATATATGTATATATGAATGTATAAATATGTATATATGTATGCATGTGTGTATATATATGTATCTATGTGCATATGTATTATAGTTGCATATATACTTATATATATATATATATATATATATATATATATATATATATATATATATTTATATATTTATATATATATATATATATATATATATATATATATATATATATATATATATATATATATATATATATATATTTATATATTTATATATTTATATATTTATATATTTATATATATATATATATATATATATATATATATATATATATATATATATATATATATATATATATATATATAATTTGGTATTTTATATATTTGTATATTTCTGTATTTATATATGTATATATTTATATATTTATATACTTATATACTTATATACTTATATACTTATATACTTATATACTTATATACTTATATACTTATATAATTACATATACATATACATATACATATACATATACATATACATATACATATACATATACATATACATATACATATACATATACATATACATATACATATACATATACATATATATATATATATATATATATATATATATATATATATATATATATATATATATATATATATATATATATATATATATGTATATATGTATATATGTATATATGTATATATATACATATATACATATACATATATATATATATATATATATATATATATATATATATATATATATATATATATATATATATATATATATATATATATATATATATATATATATATATATATATATATATGTATATATATATATATATATATGTATATATATATATATATATACATATACATATATATATACATATATATATATATATATATATATATATATATATATATATATATATATATATATATATATATATATATATATATATATATATATATATATTCATTCAGGTCTGAAATGTCTTACAAGCTGTTGTGTATGTACATGAACATCAAGTTCACCATTTTGTTTTTATCACATGTTAAAGCACATGTATTTATTATTGTTATTTGTTCATTTGTTTTTTGTTATTTTATTTATTTTTATTATTATTTTTTTACAATGAACAGCACATACAGAAACAAACATTTCTATACACAGACATGTTCATGCACACACGCAAACATATGCAAACACATTTTTTTCTTCTTTTTCACTTGTCCTGCAGAAACTTAATTTTAGTCTTTTCGTAGTCTTACCATAACAAATTCCATCTTTTGAGAGATATCAGAATGTCTTGGGCCTAATGTTAAAAAGTCCTCAGTTTGATTTTTTTAGTCTGGTAACTTAGTGAAGCATGACATATGTTTAATCACACAACTGTAGTGATAGCTTCATTATGTAACTTGTGTCTTTTCATCATCAGATCTGGGAGCTGAGTGACAGTGAGGAGGAGATGGAGTAACAAAACAAGGTTAAGTAATTTAGTAACACAAAATTTAGCATTATGTGTTGGTGTTATTTATTCTGAAGGAAAGATTTATAGTTAATCTTGGGGTAAAATGGAACAAATAAGATGATTTGGGATGATGGATAACTAGGTGTGTAATGATTTGTTAACAGAAACAGATGATATTCATATTTGTGTCTCTTGTTGAAGTAAATAGTTTCCATGCTCTGGTTGATATAATATTCTTATAATAAAATTGGATACATGGTAATGATAGATATGCATTTCAATGCCTGAGCTCATCACAAATATGTTTATACAATAGCAGGTAATAGTTACCTGAGTATTTGCTAGCATTTCATCTTTGCTACATATTTTTTACAACAGCTTGTCCTTGCATAAGAATGGCCTTTGAAAATATGCATAATGAGCCTTAAAGTTCTAGGTGAAAGGAAGTGTATTCCCACACACACACACACACACACACACAAACACATATGCCTTATTATTCTTACACACACACAGGTGATTATGATATATAAAGATGTATGAGCATACCTTTGACTATTACATAGTCAGTGGTAGGTATGAAATGGTCTGAGAATTCTTAATGATTGTAT